CTACATGTAGTTTCAAGACACTTACCTCATTTTTATATTTATTACGATTTTTTTTTTATAAAATAAATCCGACAATTTACATTAATTCAAAATTTGAATGTATGTTTTAAAAGTCCAGAGGCAATGTACGGATTTGCAGAGCTTGACTTTGGTGCATATTGAAAGTGATTTCTCAGGAAAAAGAAGAAGAGATTAATCGGTTAATTATGAGATTAATGTGATTAATTTGAATATAATTAGTAAAAATTAAGGGGGGGAAATGAAATTATAAGGATTTCATACTAATTATGTAATATAAAGGGATTTGGAAAATAGTACATGAAATAAAATGGGGGCGCCGCCACTCAATTGGCCAAACCAGAGAGAAACAAATCTGGGTTGGCCAAGAGGAAATAATGACCTCAAATGATCAAAAGTCGGGTAGTTAATTAAATTAGCTAAATTAATTCATATTTTGTACATAATTAGAGGCGGAGATCTATAGTTGAATGTCAAATGGGCTGAGCCTGCAGGCCGGCGGCGGAACGGAGCTCAATTCCGCCGTAATCAAGGAGCTCCTCGATCATTTGTTGAATATGATCATCATCCAACGGCTCCCCGCGATCCACGCTCTCTAGTTTGACTTTCTTCGTTGACGTCACGTCGGCTTCCACACCGACGGGAGCAATGCCGGATGTCACGGAAAAATCGGTTCGGATTGTGTCGGTTTGAGGGCGACGTGCAGCAGAGGAGGATTGCTTGGTGAGTTGCAAGGAGGCCATGTAGCAGCGGTGAAGCTTGGCGGTTAGAGTAGCCGAGAGAAGGCGGGAAGATGAGGAGCGCGACAGGGAGGCGTCGTAAGGGAAGTTAGTGCGCGCCCTTGGCCCGCACATGAGGCGCGCGGCCTCGTCGTATGCGCGCGCTGCGTCTTCGGCCGTCTCGAACGTGCCCAACCAAATTCTAGTCTTCCTGTATGAACAAAAATCAGTGAACAAAAAGGATGGCGAATGGACTTAGTTTAAAGCTAGGAGAATGGACTTACAATAAAGGATGGCGAATTTCGGAGACCCATGAGCCCCAATGGCGCTGTCGGACACCGCGGAATCTTTGTTGTGGTCTGGGCATGGTGAGCGGAGACAGAGAGGTTGTGAATGGAAGTGGGAAGAGGGGGTTTAAGTAGAGAAATTGATAGGCATTTTCCAAAGACTGCACTGGCAAGCAATTTGGGTCAATACTGATCGGTCCCACAGGGTGGCTATAGAGGTATGCCCCCCAGTAGTTAGCAGTTGGGCAGGTTGCTAAGGCATGTGAAGAAATATTGAATAATATATATTATAGGTGAAGGGTTATTTCAAACTCACCAAATTTTATTCACATGATCACCAAATTCGAATAGATTTTGGTCGCTACAAAACAAATGTCCAAACTTTGTTATATGGGTTTTGGAAGTGGAGTTTTAAGGGCAAACTAGAATGCATTATAAGAGGGCCAATATGGTTGGGGGAATGGGCGGAAAATGGTTGCACATGTATAGAACCTCGCACCATGTTTCTGCAACTGCAAACATAACCCATCTGGGAATCATTTCTTCTGCTTTACAATTATTCCCATTCCCCCCATTCTCTCCCTCTTCCCCCATGTGCCTATAAATCCAAATTTCTTCTTCTATCTACCCAACTCTAACTACCAACTTTCCATTCCCATCCTATATACATATATGGTCCGCTTTAGTCCGTTGCGTATCGCCGTCAGCCTTAAGATTTTAAAATGCGTCTGGTGGGAAGAGGTTTCCACATCCTTATAACAAATGCTCTGTTTCCCTCTCCAACTGACATGGGATCTTACAATCTATCCCTAAAGGTCCAGCGTTCACGGTGGCACACCGCTGAGAGATCCCACATCAGTTAGAGAGGGGAACGAAACATTTCTTATAAGAGTGTGAAAACCTCTCCCGGGCGCATTTTAAAATCCTTAGGCTAACGATAATACGTACTAAGCTAAATCTGACAATGTTTGTTAGTAGTGGGCTTGTGCTGTTACAAATGGTATCCGAGCCAGACGCAGACCCCCAACGAGGGTGTTTTCTGAGATCCCACGTCGGTTGGAGAGAGGAACGAAACATCCCTCATAAAAGTGTAGAAACCTCTCCCCGACGCATTTTTAAATCCTGAGGCTTACAGTGATACATAATGGGCTAAAGCTAACAATATTTGCTAGTAGTAGGCTTGTGCGGTTACAAATGGTATCTGAGCCAGACATAGGCCCCCAACAAGGGTGGATTGTGAGATCCAGAGAGGGGAACAAAACATCCCTCATAAGCGTGTGAAAACCTCTCCCTAAGTTAGATGTATTTTAAAACTATGAAGCCGATAATAATACCAAAACGGATAATATTTGCTAACAATGGGTTTGAATGTTACAACCAGGATAATGATAAATTTTCATACGTGAGTATTCAACACGTATGTGAAAGTCAAAATTCGAATCTTTGACCTTTTGATTTATAACATGTTTGTCTAGTTTGTGTTTAGGTTGACTCGAGTATCAAACTCATCATCCTCTTGATCCAAGAGAGACAAACAACTCCAATTTCAGGCGTTTTGGTTCCCTTTTTTACTATAATAAATTGCAGTTGGTTTATATATAGCATTATTTAATCAAGTTATGGAGAGTTTCATGTCACAAAAGATAGCAAAAATATTTAATTTTGGAAACTTATATTTGATAGAGAATGACTTTATAAGCTTAGTAGATCCATGACAAAGATTTGTTTTCTTTTATATATATATATTATACATTGAACGTCTATCATATTCTCAAATTCTTAATTTACGTTACGCTACATAAAAATTTAATAGGGCCATGTGCGGTAGGGACACTATACAAACAAACAAATAAACAAACAACGTCTCTTCTTCTAAGTAATTTGTTTATCATTTCTTGTACTCTTCCTCATTTTCATCTCGTCCAAATCAAATGAATCTAACTATAACTATATATTTAAATCAGCTTGATTTTTTTAATATGATATTTTAATTGCAGATGGATTTAAATAAACGAGTGGTCGTTAAATTAATTTTGGAGAATTGGAGGGGTTAGATTGTAAAAACAAGAAGTTGGAGGGTTGGTTGTAAATGGGAAGTGTGTGGAAATATGGTTAAGTTTGGTTGACAGCTAAAATGGAAGATTAATTGGTTAAATGAATTAAAAAGAGGTCAAAAAGGGTAGATTTATGCAATCATTTGGACCCACCAAAACTATATAATAATAATAATTAATAAATTTTCATATTAACCTATTTCTATACAAAACGCGTAATGTGGGCCCAACACACAACATGGGTGATCATCCTAAATTTGTCCCTTTCTCTTATCAAATTTAATTAATTCTATGCTTTAAATATACCCACAACATTAATTACCATAATATATTATTAAATGACGTGTTATATTATGAACAGAAATACTAAAAAATTATGAAAAGTGGATGTATGGGGTCGATGTTAAAGTAGTTTAGTATTTTCACTGGAAATATCACATGAAGAATCGAACGCAGAAGAAATAAAAGTGACGGGTGTTAGATGATGAAAGTCCCACATCGGTTAATTTAGGGAATGGTCATGGGTTTATAATCTAAGAATACACTCTCCATTGGTATGAGGCCTTTTGGGAAGCCCAAAGCAAAGCCATGAGAGCTTATGCTCAAAGTGGACAATATCATACTATTGTGGAGAGTTGTGTTCGTCTAACATGGTATCGGAGCCATGCCCTAAACTTAGCCGTGCCAATAGATTGACAAATCCTCGAATGTCGAACAAGGGACTCCAAAAAGAAAAAAGGAGTCAAGCCTCCTCGAAGGTACGATTAAGGGGAGGTGTGCTTTGTTCGAGGGGACGTGTTGGATGATGAAAGTCCCACATCTCTTTGTTCGAGGGGACGTGTTGGATGATGAAAGTCCCACATCCCCTAATTTAGGGAATGATCATAGGTTTATAAGTGAGGAATACTAACTCCATTGGTATGAGAGCTTATGGTCAAAGTGGACAATATCATACCATTGTGGAGAGTCGTGTTCGTCTAACAACGGGATTTTGTTCAATGATTCACTACTAAAATTTTTTGGAAAGTGGATGTATGGGGTCGATGTCAAAGTAGTTTAGTATCTCCACTCGAGATATCACATGAAGAATCGAACGCAGAAGAAACAAAAGTGACGGGATTTTGTTCAATGATTGACAGGCGTTTGTAAGCTTGTGGCTCAATTGGCTTGTTTTTATTGCATCACTCCAACCCCAATCTCGCTGAGAAAATCAAGCTTTTTTTTTTTTTTTTCCTATAAAAAAGATTCTGATTCAATGACGCGGTTGCTGAAGAGTAATGCATTGAAGGGAATTGAATTTAATGGCCACCAACGTCATCATTCTGGACGCTCGTAAAATTTGAATATTAATTACTGTTAAATTAAATTATGTTGGAATTTAAAGTATAAATGAGTTGATTATTAAGCTAAATAAATACTTGGATTATTGGAATGTAATTAAATGAGATTGGACAAAATAGTCAAGCTCAAGCACGTGCTTCGACTGCCTGAGAGTCAACAGTTTTAACATGGACGAGGGAGAAAATTGGAATAAAATAATTAGCTTCAATAACTTAAAACCATTAATTAAATAACTCTTTTATTTATTTATTTTTTATATTATTTATTTATTTTAAGGATACTTCGGTATTTCTTTACTAAATCAGAGCTATTATCGTTGTTTAATTCTCTAATAATTAAATCCTTAATTAGCAGATAATTTCGGAGTTTGCTCCCTTCTCCATGTGAAGCATATACGTCTATATAGGATATTTATTTATTTATTTATTATTATTATATACGAGAGTTTGTGTTCAAAGTAGACAATATCATACCATTAGGTTTAAACTCTTCAGCCTATTGTTTAGGGAGCTCAGAAAGGCCTTTCTGGACCAGCCCATTTACATTGTCCGTCAACAAAATGGACTTGGGGATTGCCTAGGACCGAGCAACAATTGTGCTAGCGGTCCACATAAAGTGCTCATCTCCTCTTTCACTCGTCTTTTCTGAAATTAGGGTTTCTGTTTCTTGTTCGTAGCCCTCGCAGCCGGTTTCCGATTCTCCAAGATGGTAACTGGTTCTTCCTTGTACTGATTTCCGTTATGTTTTCTCGCTTTGGATTTATTGTGCATTACACTTCCGGTTGATTTTCTTAAACGTGCGCAGCCGTCGCACAAGACCTTCAGAATCAAGAAGAAGTTGGCGAAGAAGATGAGACAGAACAGGCCTATTCCTCACTGGATCCGTCTTAGGACTGACAATACCATCAGGTCTCTTCTCTTCCGTTTTCTTTTACTCAATGTTCTCGTTTCATCATTTCTCATTTCAAAATCTAACGCTGCATTTTGATGAATATTTCAGGTACAATGCGAAGCGAAGGCACTGGCGCCGCACTAAGCTCGGATTCTGAGGTGTTTTGCATGTGATTTTCTCTTCATCCTTGGCAATTGTTTTGATCCTAATTAAGCGTTAGTAGTGGAGAAGACAGAGAATATAGAGCTAGATGTTTGAATTTTTGCCTCTCAATTAAGAATTTATCGAAGAGAATCTCGAGTAGTCTTTAGGGCTACTTCTATGTTAAATTTATATCTGGAGTGATGTCAATTCGGAAGTTAATTCTGTTGGTTTAGTTCAGTTTGGTGCCATTTCTTCTAACGCTAGTGCAGTGTTTTGTTATGGCCTTGATCATTGAAGTATTCAGGTGGATGAGATGAGTTTAGTATCTACTAGATCATCGATTGACTGGGTGCATTCGCAAATTAACTCCCACAAGTTTGTCGTATGGTTTATTTCTACGTCCTTGTTAACTTTTCTTTTTGACGTATGGATTTAGTTGTTAAATCTCTTCCTCTATGTTGGAACTTTGATTTTGATTCATGAACATTCATTCACTTTATGTTTGTGTCTGGAACTCTTCACTACATTTCATGCTTAGTTTCTATCAGAAAAGTGATCATAAACGTTCTATCTAACTGTCCATTTTCAAATTTTCAAGTTTCATTTCTTGTTTAAGAACAAAATTGACTTTCAAGCTTTTAGTAATATGACGTATCGCCATATCTGTCTCTTCGTGTGATGAACGACATAGAAATAAGGTTGTAATGGCCTTTGGATTTCCCAAGTGAGGACTAAATTTACAGGCTATAAACTTGGCGATCAAATTAGAAAATGCCTAGTCTAGTCACTTTTTATGTAACATCTCAAATCCGAATATTGTTTCTCAAGGTTTTAAAATGCTACTAGAGATGTTTTTGCATTCTTACAAATAATGTTTCGTTTTCCTTCTCAATCAATGTAGAATCTCACAATTCCACTCTTTGCTAATTTATTGTTCGTTGTCTATCTTTTATAGCATTTGTAACAGTCCAATTCTATCACTATTAGATATTGTCTGTCCATATGTATCACCGTCAAACAGTTTTAAAACACCTCAAGAAGTCCTAGTTTTAAAACACCTCCGTTTCCTTTTAATTTTTTTTTTCTTGTCATTTTAAGAAATTTTTTAAGATACTGAATTAAAATTTATATTTGTAAACTAGCTCACTAAAAGGGTATATCTTTAAATTGGACTAATAAAAAAATGTAATAGTGTGACAATTAAATACAAAACTACCCCGTTTTAGAAAATGATAAATTAAATTAAAAGGTTTATGAATTAAATGAGGATAATTGTTGCGGATAAAGTCCAAGTCCCTGACACGTGGCTTCATTTTAAGACACGAATGCAATCCATAAATTCAGTAGTCCATTCTCTCCTTCTCATGCAACCAGAATTACCATTTCAGCCACAACACAGAGTAGAGATCCGACGAGCGCCGTTTTGCAGCAAAGCCCCCCATCCATTTACAAATTGCCCCTCAGACCCATTGCCTTGTCTCTCCCCTCATCCTCTCTGCGAACTCCGATCTCCATTGTTATTGATCCGAGTTTCATTGATTTTCTGTTTGCTCCATTCCTGAGCTTATTTCTTCTTGCGTGGATTTAGATGGCGTCCTCTATCCTCTCGCTTGCTTCCGCCTCACTTTCCTCCCTTGAGAACAAGGTTTTCTCTTCCTTCTGTTTACTATCGCTTTCGTTCTTACGTTGTTTTTCTCTCTGGTCTCGATCTTTTTTTTTTTTTTTTTTTTTTTTTTTTTTTTTTTTTTTTTTTT